TTTCCTTTCAACAACTCCATTTTGTTGAGGAGTTCTAGGAGCTGAAAGATTATGATTGTATCCATTTTCATCACAAAATCTTTTTACATCTTGGTTATCGAACTCTCTTCCTCTATCACTTCTAATGGACTTAATCTTACACTCTTTCTCATTCTCGACTCTCGTACAAAATTTAGTAAAGATTGCATGAGCCTCATTTTTGTGTGTAAGGAAAAATACCCAAGAGAATCTAGAGTAATCATCAATAATGACAAATGCATAGAGTTTTCCACCAAGACTAGCAATTCTCTCCGGATCGAATAAGTCCATATGAATTAATTCAAGTGGCCCTGTAATTGTTATGTCCTTTTTCCTTTTAAATGATGTCTTGATTTGCTTGCCTATTTGGCATGCGCTACTAGTTTTATCTTTAGAAAAATTAGTCTTTGGGAGGCCTTTGACTAATTCATTTCTAGATAGCTTTGAAATCAAATCCATACTAGCATGACCTAACCTTCTATGCCACAACCAACTGTTTTCATTTGAGGATATAAGGCACTTGACATCTTGATCATGTAATTCACACAAAAGTAAAGTGTACACATTACCATTTCTTAGAGCATGAAAAACTTCATTATTATCCCTTTTGACAATGCATTTATCCGATTTAAACAAAACATCATATCCTTTATCACATAGTTAGCTAATACTAAATAAGTTGTGTTTTAAGCCTTTAACAAGTAAAACGTCATCAATAGATAAGGAAGATGAGATACCAATAGTTCCAATGCCAATGACCTTACCTTTTGAATTATCGCCGAATGTAACATTTCCTCCTTTGTGAGGTTTGATGGAGCAAAATTTTGATTGATCTCCCGTCATATGTCTTGAGCATCCATTATCAAGGAACCATTTGTCCTTGGATGAATATGAAGACTTCACGCAAACCTACAAAATGAATTTGAGTAATCTTCTTTTGGTACCCACATTCTTTTGGGTCCATGAGAGTTAGGAAGAAGCATATAAGTCCCTTTAATAACCCAAACTTCTTTTGTCCTACATGGCCTAATCGGACAATGATTGATCTTATGTCCTATCTTTTTACAATAATTGCATGTTAGATAAAAGGAGGAATTTTTAACAAAGTAATTATTCAAGGGTTTTCTCCTTTTCAATAAACATGAATCTTTGTTATGAGGATCAAATCCAAGCCCATCCTTAGCATAAGCATTTCGTTGCTTTCCAAGAATGATGCCTAAATTCTCTCTACCTTTTGTGAATTTGGCTAAGGTTTCAACTTGATCCTCAATAATGACTTTCAATGATTCATTTTCAGAAATTAACTCAATTGAGGCCGCTTCTTTAGCTAATTCTTTTTCCTTTTTCAAGGTTTTATTTTCAAGTTAAGATTTTTCAAGGTTTTGAGAGATGATAAGCTTTTCTCTTCTAAGGCTAGTACACTTTTGAACCATTTTGCCTAATTTATCATGTAATTCTTTAAAAGCATCTAGTAAATAATTATATGCCTCAACTAATTCATCATATGAAGTTTCTAAATCAAATGAGTCATGATTAGAATTTACCTCATCTTCATCTGCCATGAGACAAAGATTAGCCAATTCATTGAGTTCATCGTCACTTTCGAATCCATTTGAATCATCATCTTCCCATGTAGCTCGCATGGCTTTGTCTTTCTTTTTCCTTTCCTTTTCATTTTTGTAGGCATAGCAATCAGATTTGAAATGCCCCGATTTTCCATAATGAAAACATGTAGGTGCTTCTCTTTTTCCTTGCTCACTTGATGCACCATTTCTTTTGAAGTTGTTACTCTTTCGGAACTTTTTCATTTGAAGAACTCTTCTCACGGTCTTAGTAATGAGAACAACTTCTTCTTCTTCATCATCATCATTAGGAGCTTTATCAATTGTGACTTCTTTGGTAGTAGCTTGAAGAGCTATATCCTTCTTTTGAGCTTCTTTGTCTTCATCTCTATCATTCATCTCTAACTCATAGGCCATTAATGAGCCAATGAGTTCATCTATGGGGAGTGTATTGAGATCTTTGGCCTCTTGGATGGCGGTCTTCTTGGCTTCCCAATTTTTAGGCAAAGACCTAAGAATTTTTCTCACATTGTCGGACGATGTATATGATCTTCCAAGAGCCTTCAAAGGATTCACAATGTTAGTAAAACGAGAATACATTTCACTAATAGTTTTTTTGTTGTTCATGGTGAAATGTTCATATTTATGGACAAGCATATTCATTTTGGATTCCTTTACCTGACTAGTCTTTACATAGGTAACTTCAAGTTTATCCCAAATTTCTTTGGCCGTTTCGCAATCTAAAATTCTGTTGAATTCGTCTTTGCTTAAGGCACAATAGAGATTAGTGATAGCCTTGACATTACATTGTACAAGCCTACAGTCATTTAAGGTCCATTCAATATCAGGTGTTGGAACAGTTTCATCATTTACTATTTTGGTTGGAACATGGTCTCCTTTTTCTGTGGCTTTCCAAACATCTATATCTACACCTCTTAGGAATGCTCTCATTTTGATCTTCCAATAGTTGTAGTCATTTTCATCAAACCAAGGAGGTCTATTATTAGATTGACCTTCTTGATGAAAATTTGTATTGGCCATGGTCGTTCTCTAAGATGGTTAAATCTTTTTCTAGAGATTAGGCTCTGATACCAATTGTTAGTCACTAATTGACTCTAGAGGGGGGGTGAATAGAGTCAAGGGCCAATTTTTGCAATTTAAAAAATATTAAATCTAACAAACTATTAAGCATAGAGAAATTGAAATATTCAAGCAGTGTATGGCATAAGTATAAGAGAGATAGAGATGAGAGATTGCAAACTATGACTCAGCGAATTAACGAGGTTCGGAAACTCCTACTCTTCGGCTCAAGGTGACTTCCCAAATCCACTAGAGCTTCTCCTTAATGGTGGAGAGCAAACCTTCAATTGAAGCAAGACCTTGTTTCTCTTCCTTGCTAAGAGAACACCCTTCTCCTAGGCTTTCTTTTGGGTCACACCAACCCTTTTACAATAACTTGGAATAAAAATGAATTGTACAATAAATCTCTCAAAGATAGAAGTACACAGTTCTGCTCACGACTATAGTAAAGATGAATATATATATGAAGCTTAGAATTACTACAGTAGAATGAAATGTAAGAGAGGAAATGAAAGCAGAGGGAATGAAACCTTAATGAATGCTTCTTAATGCTTTTCAAGAATGGTAGAATGCTCTCTATAATGGTGTACTTTATGATGTAGACCAACCTCTGTATTTATAGATAAACAATGGTTAATATAGCTGTTGCAGGTGGTTGGAAAACAATAAATGAAAAAGTTTCCGTTGTAATGGAATTAGGAGCGAGGGAGTTCAACCAATATTTTGCCTTATCCTTTAGGGAGAATGGGAAAAGATGGAGATGGAGTGCATTGTCCGGAAAACCTCTCAACCGGATGGTCGAACAGATTTCAAGGAATTCATCAAGATGCTTATATGGATCTTCATTATCAAAGCCATGAAATGATGGAAGCATTTGGATGGTGCTTGATTTGATCTCATATTGAGCTGCATCGATGTTTGGCATTACTATGCAAGAAGGAGAAGCATAGGTGGTAGGGATGAAATGATCTCTAAGAGTCATTGGCTCGATATTAGGAATTTCAGCCCTTTCATTCCCCGGATTTCCTATATTATCTCCCATTGTATTAAATTCAGTTTCAAGATCCCTTGTAAGAGTAGATTCCCTAAGGTTTCTTCTAAGAGTTCTTTTAAGAGAATTGATATCAATGGGCGAATCGATTATGGGTAGAGAGAGTGACCTATGACCGAACATCAACAGCACAGCATATAATCAACAAAGCAATTCATTATCCACAACTCCACATATGATGTTCCCTTTCTCCTCAATTATCAAGACAGAAAATAAATGGCCACGACAAGGACTGATGCTTGAACACGAAATTAAAACAATAATATAGCCTCAACAAGGGCTTGCAAATAAATTAACTACTTCTAAGCTTAACACATGCACGATATCTTACAATGTGAAACTAAATGGTCAAGAAACTTACCTGGGGTCCTCTAGACTTACGCTTTGCTAGCGTTCCCACGGCGAGATTCGAGTCCCTAGAATCTTACAACACTTAAAACACAAAGATGGTCAAAACACACAAGGAATATTCACAAGACATAATATTCACAATCAAACTAAAATTAACCCTAAACTTTGGTTGCTAAACCGTTTGCAGTCCCCAGCAACGGCGCCAAAAATTGATCGGTTGGTCAATCATACATCAACCTTCGCAATAGCACGAATCATTGTAAAATAGGGCTATTGGTCGGGCAAGTCGAACCACTGGGACTGCGCTAGTCTTAAGACAACCTAAGTATCTAGAGTCATTTTAGAATGATAAGGTGTAATAAGGAGTTGTTGATTGGTTTGTCATTAAGCTAGTAATTGAAGTGTGCATAAAACAAGAATGCTAGTAAATGAGAGTTAGAGATAATAAAAGGGGAAACTAGGGAAGTGAATCCACCTACGCCCTAAATACATGCTAAATCAAGACTAAATTGGGGATAAACACTATATAAGTAATGATCAAGAATTATGTAGCAACACATAGTTGCTTCATAACCAATAAAAAGTTCATGAGATTAAAACAAGAATGGTCTATCAAAAGACAACACATTTGGACTACCTAGACTAGGGTGTAGTATCAAATACATTAACTTAAGCAAAAGACCATCAAGCATTCAATCAAATGATGAAGCACATGAAGGTAAGAATCAAGCATAGTCCATCAAAGGAGGTACCTAAGCAATGGAATATCAAGTTTCAAAATCAACATGCCTTGAAAACCATTCATAGTTAATATCTTCATTGTCACTATGAAAATAAAAGCAATAAGACTAATGTAAGAATCATCAAGACAAGCTAAAGAACTCATATCAATCATTTAAACATGAATATTCATTACAAGAAGTAATAAGCTCTTAAACTATGAAAAGACCAAAGTTTATACATTATAATCCCCAAAATAGAACCTAATCTAGAACATGAACAAAAGGGGAGGCTTCATCACCTCCCTAGATGGAGTTTAGTTACCCATGAGTGAGCTAGAAGAAGGAAGAAGCATGGATGGACAAGCCATTTTCGAGCTCCCTTCTTTAGGCTTAAAGAACACCTTTCTTGCTCTCTTCTCTCTCCTCTACTCTTCTAGAATGAAGGATAAATGATTTTGTGTGGTCCTCCCTCTCTCTTATCAAGCTCAAGTCAAGGCTCTCTCTCTTCCAAGGAACACCTTTAACCGCTTCATAAAGAAGGAAGATGGCATTGAGGAAACCAATGTGAAAGTGGCTGAAATTGAGCCATTTCTGAGTGCAATCTGCCAGAATTTCGAGCACTCGAAGGGTGGTCTCGAGCACTCTAAATTAGTGTAATGAGCAACATGCAATTCTTGCCCATCTCTGACCCACTGTGGAAGAATGACCATAACTTTGTGCTCCAAACTCTGAATGATGATTTGTTTGAATATTTGGAGAGCTGATTCAGAGCTTTAAAAACTTTATGTTTTGATGAAGACCCAATTCTCAAGTCTGGTTGGTCGAAAATGGGGAGAAAGGCAGTACTTCAGTGCTGCCAGGCAGTTCTGCGTACCTCTGTTAAGAAGATCATAACTCTCTGCTCCGAACTCCGAATGATGAAATTCTTGAAGATTTGTAAAGCTGATTCAGATCTCTAAATCTTTCATGTTATGATGGAAGTCTAGTTCTTGATTTTACTAGGTCAAAAATGGCGACAAAAGTCAGGTTCTACTGCTGCCAGAATTTCAGAATTGGCACCCTTTTTGTTCAAAATTCCACAAGGCATCATTTTTGCTTCCTTTTTGCAATTTAACCTGAAAATGTACAAAAACATGCAAATGGAGATAATCTACATAAAATAATCAATTAATGAACTTTGTTAATGTAATTTAGGGCGCTTGAATATACAGTATTCGGCGCTTATCAGATACCCCTGGATTTTTGGATATGGGTTGGCCTGGCCCACACCCGAATACCTGAGGAAATAAAAAATAAATCAGTAATAATCGAACACAGAGTACAAAGAATAAAAAAAATAGGAATAAATAATTTGCTGAAAAAAAACTAAAATATTAATCCAATAACTAAATCTCAGAATAAATTTTCGTTAATAATAAAATCATTATGATACAATTAACCCTCCATTAATACAACTCGGGAATCTATACTATGTGGACCCCTAGAAAATCCAAACTGAACAAGTGACGGCAATAACTGTCTACAACAGAATAATAACGCATAAAAGAATCTCCTATATAGAATCAGAAGAATGGAATAGACTGATTCCTGCTCAGCACAAACAATCTCTACTTTTGATGAATAACTAAAAATTAATAGTGGGTCAGACCCACAAATAAGTTCTACTCTACTACAGTCCAAGCAGAGATCCGATACACATATACATCCTAGTTAATCCAACAATAACTAGTAGTTTGTATATATATATAGATACACACTATATGACGCTCACTGGACTATAGGTCTGTCTCAACCTGAATAGAAGACAACATGCAAATCGCACATAAAGTGGGCATGAGTACCTAGACCTACCTGGGCACCCAGATGTCTACTATATCTAGTTATCCATCCTAGGCCATATACGCACCCTAACCATGATCTTGAGACTCAAGCTCAAATCATGGCACCATAATTATATATATATAATCCAGTAACCATCCTATTTAGTAAAAAGTAATCCTCTAAAATTAATCCTCTATAAGTAATCCTCTATAAGTCATTCAACTTGTTTAGCAGACCTGACTTGAATATAAGGAGGACTTAACATTTTAGTTAATCCATTCCCTTATATAAAAATTGGTAGGACTTAACTTCTTTGGTTAATCCATCCCTAGAATGCTACCGTTCCATACCGGTTCATTAAACCACACAATCCAATACATGATCCAACAAATAAAGCAGTACATCAAATAATCCAAAATAACATGATAAAAATCACATATATCATCCTTACATATACTTAAGCAAAATAACATCTCTAAGTAGCATGCATTTAATTTTTACAATATTGTAATTAACATGTATCTCAAATAGATTGTTTTAACCTCCATCCAGGACGTAATTAAACTATTTAAATCTAATTATTTGATTAAATTAGTTTAATGCCAATATTCATCCATTTAAATTGTTAAATAATAGTAAGCAATTAAATCATCCATTAACAATATGCAGACCTATTTAAAATGCCATATTGTTCAAATAATTAGCACAAGAATATAAACTATGCTTTCTGGGATTTTATCATGTCAATTGATATTAATTTAAACCCCCAGCATCATCCAAACCATCACTAGAACCTTAAAACCCCAAAATAGTGTCAAAAATATTCATCCCGTTGAAGTCCCAGCCATGGAGCATGCTCCCTTCTGAAAGGAGCAGTCTCTATCCAAAAGGAGCAGGCTCTGCCCACAGTGGAACCACTTCCACTCACAATGGAGCCGCCTCCATTCATGTTACTCTCCGTCTTCATTATCTTCGACGTCCTCTGATCATTCCAACCATCTCCCTTAAGGTTCCTAACCTTCTGTTCTAAGTCCCAGATGATCCCAATAAATTTATAAAGTTCATACACATCCGAAACATAACTTAAAACTAAGTTTCATACAATAAATTTCAAGATCAACAAAGAATACGTATAAACCCCTATAAACATATATATTCCATTTTAATTCAGTTTAAGCATGCATATAAGGTTAATTTATTATCTGATTAACCCCTGAAATTAATTAGGCATGTATAGAACACAGACCAAAGGGAAAGAGATAGAAGTAAAACTCGCCTCTCGGTTTCGGATTGAAACCTTAACCTCTTCTTCCTAGCTTTTTCGGCGATCCTTGGCCACCACTGAAGCCACTGCTTCTCAGTCCTAAACCCTCGAATAGCCTCCTTTCCTTCCTTCTTGGTCCAGCCATAACCTTTGGCTGATCCTTTCTTTCTCTCTCTCTCAGTTTTCCTTTCCAAAACCCTCTTTGTATCTCTCTTTCTCTATGTATATAATATCACATAATATAAAACCTAGCCTCCTCTATAGACTACAACACACACACACACACACACACACACACACACACACACACACATATATATATATATATATATTTATCGGCCTTATCATAATTAACCTAATCCTATATCAAAACTAAGTCAATTAAACATATAACAATTAACCAAATAATCAACTAAACAATTAAAAACCCAATTAAAACAAATAAATAAACACCGAGACTATCCTTTTAAAAGTATGGGTATTATATGATGATGATGATGGAATGTCCTTTTTGGAACCACTAGCATCCAAGGAAGTAGGAATTAGATTTTGAATAGGATGGATGCAATCATTTGGTTGCGTCAGTTCACTATCCTCTTTTGGTACCTCTACCTTATTGTCTACTTTCCTACGACTCCTCAAGGTAGTAATTGCTTGAAATTGCTCATTTATAGAAAATCCCAATGAAAGACTTGCTTGTGCCATTAATTGCCCCGTAGGATTTGTCTCAGTTTGACTAGGTAACTTACATTTCTCTCTCACATTTAAATAATTAGCTAATTGCCCAATTTGAGCTTCAAGCTTTGCAATTGATTGAGAGTGAGAATGAAACAATTGATTATCTTTTCGAAAATTACCTAAGGCTTCCAAGACCTTATCCTTAAAAGCAGGACTCTTAGGAGGTACTTGATTTGGATTAGAGTAAGATTGAGAATTTGATGCTTAAGGATGAGAATAGGATTGAAAATTTGATGCTTGATGATGAGAATATTGATTCACATTTTGAGGATAGAATAAAAGATGATAACTTTGAGAATTATGATTTGGAGATGTGAGGGAACATACTTTTATTGGTAACCTTGAGTTTGAGGAAGGTTTGCATCGTCTCCTTGATTTTTCCATGTAAAGTTTAGATGATTATTCTACCCCGGATTGTAAGAATTGGAATAAGGGTTGTTCCTTTGATGAATAAAAGCGGCATTTGCTTGTTCTTAAGACTCACTTGGTATGATTTGTCCAAGAGGGCAATTTAAAGTATAGTGAGTGTAACTAGAACAAGTTATGCGCATTTCATTGGAATGATGGGAATAAGATTGAATGTCGGACCTTGATTCAAAAGGAATTTATCGAATCTTTGAGTAAGATTTTTGACTTCGGCGGCAATTTCCGTGGAAGTGTCTATTTGACATAGAGCTTTCTTTCCTCCCAAATTTTCTAGGTGACCCCCCTAGAAGATGAAGATCTATGCATTGAGTTTTCACTCATTTTTTTCGAAAATATGCCAAATTTCATCTTCATTTCTTTCTATGTAGCTGCCTCCACATGAAGCATCAACAATGCCCTTATTGGCATCGAATAAACTTGAAAAGAAACATTGAACTAATTGCCACTTAGAAATGCCATGATGTGGACATTTCTATAGCAAGTTATTCAAACGTTCCCATGCCTCATAAAGGGGTTCTCTTTCTTTTTGTGCAAATTCATGAATGGAAGTTCTCATGGAATCGGTTCGACTCATAGGGTAATACTTCTTTAGGAACTCTTGTTGCAATTGTGCCCAAAAGTTGATTGTATTTGGCCCTAAGTTGTTAAACCAATATTTAGCTTTATCCCGAAGAGTGAAAGAGAAAATTTTCATTTTAAGGACTTCTTTCGGCACATCTGTGATTAATTTTCATAGTGAAACAAACTTCTAAGAACTCATCTAAATGTTTATGAGGCTCTTCATTGCTCAACTCATAGAAAATGGAGCACATGTTAATGGTGGAAGCCTTAATCTCATAATGATGAGCACGAAAATTTGGTAATTGAATGCAAGTGGGTGCATTATATTAATTTGGAGTGCAACGATCCTTAAGGACCATTGGAGGATTGAGAGGTGGGTATACCTCTTGACCTTGGAGAGGGTATGCCATTTAACCTTGAGGTGGGTATGCCATTTGAATATATTGACGTTGTTGCTCACTAATTGGGGGAACAACATTTGGCCTTGGCATCCCTAGATTAGGTTGTTGTACAACATGATTGATTAGTCGTGGTATTCCCAAGGGTGGATGCACACCTTGAGGATCCATAATATGAACTTATTATAGGTAGTGTACACCTTGGTGATCCACATGACCAAGATCTTCAATGGGATCTTCAATTGGGTCTTCCATTAAGGGTGGTGGAAGATCAAAAATGGGAAGAATAGGATGACTATCCCTAGTACTACCTCTTACACGCTGAAGAGAAACTTCGACATTTTGATTTACAGGAGCAAGAGGATGACTAAGTGATCTACGACCATACATGCACTAGATTAAGTCAACACACCAACACAACAATTTTCAATCTCCACATACGATGTTCCCAAACTCCTCAATAATATCAATGCACAAACAATTAAAAGCTTCCACAGCTTAAACTTAAAATAAAACAATTCAATAAGCCTCCACTTAGGTTGTCCAAAGCATGCAAGATAATATACAATTGAATTCAAGAATTCAAAGAAAAACTCACAAATAGTCCTTAAATAACTTCAAAAAAAAAAATTTATTGCTTCAAGGTCTTGTGTTTGCTCCACTTTGCTTCAAGTACCTAATTGACAAATATCAAGTGAGAAGATAAAAATAAAATGAATTTAAAATAAACAATCAATAAAGAACTAATGTCTAATTCAATTCTTTAAACCGTTAAATCTCTGGCAATGGCGCCAAAACTATGATGCGACCGAGCATGTGCACAACACAATACACAACACTTTAGGTTTAGAAATAATGTCAAGTGGGCATCATATTTTATAATTTATAAAACCACTAAACACTTATACTATGGAGTGTCAAGCAATTAGGGATCGTCCTAAGAGATCTAAAATATGTTGGTTTTTAGAATTGAATTCTACTTTAGTACTTATGTGATTGTTAAAAAGAGGTTTTTTTGTGATTAGAACTAATTTTAGCTTAAGTAATGCAATGGAATTAAAGCTTTAAGGAATAGAGTTTAAGAGATTGGGAAAGAAACTTAAGGTGTAGGATACACCACTTAACACATTCCCTAACTCACTAACTTTTAACTAATTGGGGAAATAATAATATGTAATCTAAATGTGGCTAACAATTGTAATGAAAAATGTAAACCATCAATTTCAAGCATGAATTAACTACTTAATAACAATTAAACTAAGTGTAGTGCAATTCATCAATTCAAGTTACAATTTTAACACACATTAATCTAAAGGATAATGCAATTATGACAATAAGCATAAATTTCAAACACTAGTATGGATTGTCTACTTACCCAGGAATTAAATTGTAATTACACTAACTAACCTTAAATTAAACTAACTAAGCCTGCAATTAAACTAATTAGGCAAGAAATTAACCTAATTATGTAGTACAACCCATCTAATATGAGCGTTATCCATCAAATTGAACTGCAATTATAATTAATTATCACCATGCATAGACATCACAAGAATCAATTAACAAAGAATTCAAGTGTAGAAATTGATTATAAATCAAACACACATAAGACAATATGAGATTTACATAGATAATCAAGTGAAAGAAATCAATCATGTTATTCAAGCCTATACATCAATTACATAAATTGATCCCCAAAAATTTAAAAAGTTAAGATTTAGGTTACATGCTTAGGGTTTATCCAACCCTAAGTTGAAAAATCAGCCACTCATGATTGATGGATGCAATGTGACAGCCCAAGTTTTTATAAACTCGGTGCGTCAGTGATAATCCAAAGATGACCGATAACGGATCCGAAATGCGAAAGCAAAAAGATGAAACAATGGTTTCTAAATATACAACACGTCTCTAAGACACCAATGTGACCCTCAACGAGGTCCGGAACCTAAAGGAATCAAATGCGGAAGCAACGTTTTAAAAATGAACAGGAATGAACTTAGGGGCAAAAATGTCATTTCCAACATGTAAATGAGTGCTACTGAGTACACCATTGGAAAGACAACGAAAAATTAATGAACTTAGACTCAAGAATCACTTGATTCGGAGTCCGGACGGAGAAGATATGGCTAACGGAAGAAGAAAGGGCAAAAAGGTCAAAAGGTGCCAACCCAAGAACATCTAACCGGTTATGAGACCTTTCTAACCGGTTAGGAGGCAAAAATAGAGGTCACGAAATCTGCCCCAAGTCATCTAACTGGTTACGAGAAGGTTACCATTCGCACACTTGTACAACAACTTAGCAAAAACCTGGCAGCAGGGTTTTTTCGGTAAAAAATGGGTTTTTGAGGCCCAAGATGACATTTTTTGAAAAAACACAAAGAATAAACCCCCCTCAAAATCGAGTTTTCTACTTAACCTTATGAAAGAAAATGAAAAATACTCGCTGTGAGATGCCCAAAATTCCCTTCCATGAAATCAGGTCATGAAGGTCAAAAAGCTACTAAATGAAAATCAGAAAGCTAAACTTCGTAAGGGATTTCCGGTACCAAGACGACATTTTCTGAAAAAACACGAAGAAGAAACCTCCCTTAACTCACATTTTCTAAGTGACTAAGTGGAGACTGGAATTTATTTCCTGAAGAAAAATCTCAAAATGCCCTTAGACTGAATTATGCAATAAAGATGCAAAATGAGTCCGTAAGAGGCTCACTTCACCAAATAAGATGTTTTTCTTTAAAATGATCATGCACGCAAACGTAACTTACTTAATAGGATGTGCTACAATGGTCCATGGTTTAAAAATATCACCGATACAAAATATGACCCCCCAACGGCCAAAAAGGCGAAAATGAAGCTTGGAATGAAAACTTGGAACTCAAAATCATGAAATGGTTTCAAATACCATTTGGCCCTTGGCCACACTTTATACATGATTAATGAATGCTAATGGATGAATTTCATACACAATGCAAGCTCCGGTTCAAAATAGCATACTAAAACGCACGATTTTTCATATATTCTCATTAAAGGCAAGATTTAACATCCATGACATATATGTAATTCCAAAAGAAGTTTGGCCCTTGGCCTCATGTCATATACATAAAATGAGAATTAAAAAGTGTGCTTAGGCACACATTACAAGTTTAGAATCGAATATAGACATTTGACAAATAAGGTTACAATTGGCATTTTGAGCCAACCTTCACAAAAATGGAAATCTCCAAGTCCACAAAACATCCAAGCATAATGAGAATCTCAACTTTGATTCATGTACCTGAAAAATGTCCCCACTACGTGGGTGAGTAACATAAAGCTACTCGTAGGAAATGAGCATGCATCGACCTAGCATTTTACAATTTTATCACCTTAAGGTGAAACATGTTAAAGGGCTCATACCACCTAACGTCTATGTTAAGGATGAGACTCGGGGAGCATCCTAAGCTACCCTAGATCATTTCTAGCATAAATCACATCATTCATGCAATTCAAACCACATAAAAGCATGCTATACAAGGCAACAAGATATAGCCATAACTTTCTGCTACAAACTCCAAATGATGAACCGTTTGATGATTTAAGAAGCTAATTCAAAGCTATAAATACACCATGTTTTAATAAAAGTCTATTTCTCAAGTTTGGTAGGTCAAAAATGAAGAGCAAATTTGAACTTCACTGTTGTCAGGCTGTTCTGCGCACCTTTGGTAAAAATGACATAACCCTTTACTCCAAACTCCAAATGAGGCAAAATTTATGTCTATGGAAAGCTGACTTATAGCCCTTCATATTTCATGTTTTACTAAAGACCAAATTTGCATAACCAAAGGGTCATAATTGGAGGCCAAAGTCTGATGGAAAATGAACTGACGCCCGCGCTGTTACAGCCTTGCACCAACTTGCTACTTGCAACCTGAAATGATTTGGGTCGGCCCGAAGACATGGCGATTCTTCTTAAAAAATTTTGCATAGAGCGTCATGAGTCCCATGGATCATTAATCTTGGCCAAAATGAAGGTCCCTGGCAACGGCGTGCTTTGATTCTTTAAGAAATCGTCAAAGCATCTGTTTTAACTCTCTTTGGGGAACCAACCTGAAAATAAACAAAAGCATGCAAATAAAGCTAGAATATGCAATATGATAAAATAATGGACTTAACTAATGCAAATAAGGGCACTTGAATATGCAATATTCGGCACTTATCAGCGGTGCCTATCCCTGAGGCTGTGGCGGTGCTGGTAATGCCGGATATGTCTGTCCTTGAATATATGGAACTTGTGGAATGGGTAAAAGTAATGGTGCCCTCTGTCCCTGGTACACATGCTGTCCCTGTCCCTGTCCTACTTTAGGACACTGCCTGGAAATATGACCATACTCTCCACAAGTGTAGCAACTACCTTGGAAAGTGCCAAATGGCCTCTTCTGTGGGTTAGCTTGTGGCTAACCCTATCCTGCCTACGGTTCCCCTTTCTGCTACCTCTGAATAGGTGCCCCATCCCTAAACTGATTATAGGTCAATGAAGTCCTCTCCTCTGCGGTGGTAACTGACTCCCACCACTGTAATGCATCTCCGACAAGCTTGAAGATAGCAAGCATCTACTTCTGAACCTCTGTGCACTGAACCATACAAAGATGTCGTTCAATGTCCTTCTTCTACTGGTGAGCTACTTTCGCATTGGTGGAGCCTGGAAACTCAGGTGGGCTCTCCTTTATGAAAGAACTCTTAGCCTTTTCCTAAGGATCAGTCTGAATCACTGGTGTTGGTATGGGTACCGGCTATACCTGAGGCTGATTTTGAAGTGTAGCTGTTACCCTTGCTTCTATAGCACGAGTAATGAGGTCATTGAGATGAGGAGGATATTCTAGATCCCTGACCTAATCCTGAGCCTGCTGAACTATTTCCTGTTCTACATGTAACTAACCATCATTATCCTGAAACCCAGGCAATTGCTGCTCTTCCTCCATTTGCTGATGCCGTAGGAGATATTGCTACCTACGTGCCGCTCTCCTTTGCCTCCTGTTTCCTTGCATGTTCTGTCCTATTCCAGTATTAACCATTATGTTAACACAGAAAGACAGACATTAGTACTGATAGGGAAAAATAAACCTAACTTACCTTGACCTAATGATAGAGGCAACTAAGTGTTGACCAGCCACCAGACCTCTTCGACTTTCGAAGATGATATTTCGTTATCAAGGATAAGAACTCCATTGGATAAGAATGATGACATTTTATCTACCAAGGATAAGATCTTCATGGGATAAGAATGATGATATTCCCTTATCAAGGATAAGGGAGGTGACCATGAATATGAAGATGACTCGGGAATAAGGTACACACAAAAAACTCCTACTAGAAAGATTACGATAGAAATTCTTTATCTAGAAATCCCTACTACCTTGATCGTCGGAGAGTTTACGGCCGGCACCACACCGGTGTTTGACTTAGCCATCTTCGTTTTGTAGGAAACGATGTCGTACCAGGCCGCGGCGAATTTCAACACCAACAGTTGGTGCCGTCTGTGGGAAACACAATTTCCTTAAATATTATCCAGTTGGGTATATGCGTAATAGCTCGCTTTATAGACCACATAAGTCCCTTAACGAAACTATTGCGCTTCTTCTCCTCTGTATCCACCTTCTCTAGAGCAAAAAGAGATAAGCGCGTGAACTGTTGCTCATACTCTGCCACTGTCATGCTCTCCCAATCCAAATTAAGGAAATCTGTTTTCATAGCTGCCCTAACTACATAAGGAAAGTACTTCTCATTGAAGCGAACACTGAACTAATCATATGTCAGTGAAGTCTTCTCTTCAGTGATGGTAA